ACGTACGACTCAAAGAGTCCCTAAAACTAAGTTCCTTATCCAAAGGAAACTTACAGCCCAAGAACCACAGCTCAAAGTTATAAAGAACACTAATAACTTTTATGCTTCAAAACCAGAAGTGTTTTAAGTATTTTATAGCGGCAAGCCGCTATCTATGTTTAACTATCTAGCATAGTTAAACCTAATCAAATACATATTCTGTGGCCCTCAGCCTATGTACTGAGGCCACTGTTAACTCTTCGAGTCATGTACTGAGAGTCTGCTAACTCTTCGGGTACTCTGTACCCATGTGTGCGCCACACCCGTGAAACCCCGTTACAGGTCCGGGCACGGACGGTGACAGAAGTTTCCGTCCCTACTGATCTTCTTTCTCTTCGACTCGTCGATCCAGCTGAGGCAGTCCTCTGGCCTGGCGACTATGTAGGGCATCCAGTGGCTTTCGTTCATCCTTACCGAGTATGCGCCGGGCAGTGGGCATATGGTGTGGTGACCCGCTACGACATGAACTTGGAGGGTCCCTCACTGAGTATACTGAGTGGTTCTGACATGGTGTCCGTCAAGCTGCTCGCTCCTCCTCGACTTATTAAGGTTGATCCGATCAACTATGCTCTACAAGTTGGCTCGTCAACCGCAGACATGCTACTAAACGCTAGGGAGCTGCTACGACAACAAGACACGATGTGTGTGACGTGCAGGAAGCGCCGCGGTCCCTTACCGGCCTCCGTGACGGCGCTTCTGGCCGTCCCTTTTGCACCTGACGAGTTGGTACCTTTGCTCCTACCTCACGACCTCCGCATTGTTCGCGTTCGGCGCCAGCACATTCTCGACGTCTGCTTGGGTCCGCGCAAGAAGAGCAAGTTGGATCTGTATAAAGATCCACAAGCGGTAATCCCAACGCCTACCTGTCCAATAATCGCACCCTCTTGCAGCGGGACGAGTGTCGCCGACGGTTATTTTGGCAGCCTGAGCGACTCCGAGGTCGAGGATGTTCGAGACGTGCACCATCAAAACCGCCCTTTGGTTAAATGCCGCCGCATAACCAAACACGGGTCACACCCTTACGACGATCGCCTATCCGACGGGGCAGACAGTTATCACGGACCACGTCGTGAGAAAGGTTCCTTTCGGCCATCTCTGACGCAACGTCACATTCATCGGTCAATCGTTAACGACTAACTTCAAGGTAAGTCCTGCCAGTTCTTGCTCGAACATATGCAGCATTCGGTCCACGTTCGGTTCTTGCCATCTCCATCAGTTCTTCGGAGCCTTTACGACTTCAGCTTCGGGATCCGCGGAGTAACCATCATGCATTGACGCCCTGCCGGTGTGTGGACCCGGGTCCACGCGCTCTAGTCGAACGCAAGCTTCACAGACTTCTCCGACAAGAACGTACTTCGACCAGTCGCTTCAGCTTCTTCCCGCAGTTACATTACCCGTGCTCTCAGATGCCTTCGGGTATTCGCTGCAGAATTCTACAACTCGAACGTTGTTGATCTCATCGATACTACTTCCGACTGCATCGAGGCCTACAAAGGTACTCCACACGGCGACTCGACCGGTTAGAAGCTCATTGCGTATTGGGTTACAAGTAAGTTCGGCAAATTTCGCAACGTCGTCGCGACACACGGGGCGTCCGGTGCCGAGGACGTCTGCAAGGCGTTTGCACGTAATGACGAAGAGCTTCTTGGCATTCGAGATCTCCGCCAATCACACCGCAGTGACGATCATGCGGCCATCCGTCGCCGCCCTACGACTAACGCTACTCGTCGGAACGACAGCTCTCGCTCCAGAACCCCGGTTCCACAGGATGTCCTCGCTGCGTTACCTGTTCAAGGCACGAAGTCTCTGTGTACGGCAACGGGAAGGGTTGCTGCTTCGATAACAGGAGAGAGCACTTTCGACCAGCCGAGCTGCCCGACATTGTGAAGGAGTACAGTGTGAAGCACTACAACGGCCTCGTGCAGCCAGGCGAGGAGTCATGACGCCATCCCAGAATTACTTGTCCAGTGGAGGCGGTTCCTGTACCATCGGTGGGTCTTCGTCGTTCTGTTCCTCTATCCACAACACTGCACAACCTGAGCATTCTGCAAGAGAGAGAGGTTCATGATTCCCGCTGTCGTTTGCGTGTCTTTGCGGAACAATTTGGTATCACAATGCCAGACCCAGACGTAGTCTCCGAAGCAATAGACACAAACCAAGTGGGTTTCTTGTCGACGTTGGCGCACCACTCGCAACTGTCGCTACCCAACTTCATTCACCTGCTTCGTAACCAATCCGCCTCTGACGCAAGACCCAACAAGGAACTATTTGAGCTTCCAGTACCTCCGGACTCCGAGCGCGCGCATGTACTTCGCCAGTGGAACTCAATTGTACGGAGCGGGGTACAACCGCGGTGGATGTCGACCAAACCCTCCAGTCAAACTACAAGAATCACAAACCACAACTCCATCGCCCCGCACACTGCCAGTATTCGGAGGCACATACGGACAGGTCAACGAGACGGCACCATGAGAGCGTCCTCAAGTTATGGCCAGAAGTGTTCATTAGTCCGATCGGTATCGCTGAGAAGGGAGACAATGATACTCGCCTCATTAACGACTACTCGTACCCCCGGGGGCGCTCGGTGAACAACTTCACCGATGATGGTAACTTTCCATCTATCTC